TGGGGCAGAGGATGAGCTGCCTGCATCCCAGCCCCCTCCCCCTCTTCCCGGTGCCCCAGTGCCCACCTGGAGGCCGCCTGCCACCCTCAGTGATGCCCCCGAGCACTGCCTGAGAACCTGCAGGACCCTGTGGCCCCAGCCAGGCCTTGTCCACCAGGCGGCCCATCCCCAAATGTGCCCCGCTGACTCCCCGCTGTGCAAGTCGCAAGAAGTGGCCACCTTCACCTCCATACACGGCTCTCCTGTAACAGGCAAAGCCCCGAAGAGGTGTCCCGGAGCCACGGAACGCCCGGACAGCCTCGTCCTCACGCTGCTCTGCACGTTCTGGGAGCTGGGACGGCTGGCAGGCCTCGAGAAGCATCCACTCGGTCTAACAACCTTTCGGGAAAATTTGGAGACCTCTCCTCTGGTGTCCACAGAGTTTCTGTAAGTTGCTTCTACAGTTAGAAACCCTTTCAAAAAGCCATGCGGGCCAGCAGACTGTGACGTTCCAAGAGGTGCTTCCATGGTGTTTTAAAATTCCAGACCTAAACAGGTAGCTTAATGAATGCTCCTGAAATTAATCTTCAGCAAAAGAAACTTGGTCTCTCAGTTAAACTTTTAGATCTAGCTTTGCCCACAAGTATGTTTTCTGAGTTAGCATCGATCTCTCCAGCGGTGGGGGAGGACACGGGGCTCTGGCAGGAAGGGGGCTGCAGAGCGTCCCCAAGCTCACGTCCACCCAGACCTCAGCCCACGACTGTTTTGTCAACCAGGGCCTTGGCAGATGTGACGGGTCAACGTTCTCGAGCCGAGCTCACCCTGGATTCAGGGTGGCCCAAGTGCAGTGACTGTCCCCACAAGGACAGTGAGGCAGGGAGGAGGCACGTGAGGCCGGAGCAGAGGCAGTGATGACGCGGCCACAGCCCAGGGGCGCCTGGGCCACCGGAGCCGAGGAGGCAGGAGGGAGCCCCCTGACCTCAGACTTCTGCCTCGAGACCAGTGTCCCAGCCGCCGGCCGGGGACACGAAACACAACACAGGAAGGTGCCGCCAGGTACAAGCTGTGTCTTTCGTGGGGACTTCAGACATACCAAGTTCATTACAATTTTCTTCATCAGCTGGACACGTCTGGGGCCAAAGGTGACGTGGCAACCCGGAGGGGACACGCGGGCGCAAGAGTGGGGTCCGGGTGTCATGCGCTACGCTATCCGCCTACGACTCCCCCGTTGGGTCCCTGCTTCTCCGCCAGGGCGCTCAGCCGCCAGGGCGCTCAGCTGCGGGACTGCGTGGCAGCTTCCTGCACAGCCTGGATGCTTTGTGAACAGCTGATGACTGTGTTGATGAGGGTGAGAAGATGGTCTTTAATCCCTAGGGCTAAAGTCTTCATTTGACCAAACGGTCCTAAAAACTCGCTATACCAAAATCATACTCCACGTGCTGGGAATAAAAACCATTTCCCATTGGTCTGCTTTACTTACACAGTAAACTGTGTGCAGAGATGTAAGTTTCGTCAACTGAACAGCCGTTTATCCACAGGTTAGATGGACCGTATGGTTTAAAGAACCACGTGCACAAGAAAACCCTCCAAAAATTAATGCACGAATCTTAGACACATCTGTTTATTCATCGAGCAAATCATTCAATTAAACACCATTGATTCCTCCCTCCTTTGAAAGTGCCAATTTCACAGCCCTGGACAACGGAGCGCTTTTCTCACGTGTGCGGGTGCACAGCCAGAGCAAACACTCCCTGGCAGCAGCGGGGCAGGGGCAGTGTCCAGCGAGCTGTCGTGGGCAAGCCCAGAGCTTGGGGGTGCGGGGTGTCCTGGTGGCATTCAGGTCCACTTAGATGCGCTGCCACACTCCGGGCGGCTCCCAGAAGAGGCTGCGAGGAGACTGAACGGAGCCCCGGGTGAAGCCGCCGGTTCCGCGAGGGAGACTCCGTGTGCCCGGAGGACGAGGGTCTCCTGGAGCCGTCGCGCTCCGCCAAGCCCAACGCCTACCAGCAGGCCCGCTGGGAAGAGCTGCTGCTCAGAACGACCACGTCCCGTTGGGGTGCAGTGGGACCTCCTCGGGCCCGAGACCGTCCTCGCCACGCCCCCTCACCAGAACCCACTCTCCCGCGCGGGGTGGGGTGGGCGGGGCTGGCGGGGCGGAGGGCCTCTGCTTCCTGCCCCCTGTGGTGGGCGGCCCGCCTGGGTCAGCCCTCGTGTGCCCAGGACCCGTCCCTGCCGTGGGTCCCTCTGACCTCTCAGGACTACTGACATGGGGTCCCCAGCACAGTCCGAGGGGCTTGCGATGAAGGCACACGGAAACGCGTAGCCTAGAGCAGACGGATGGTTGACTGTTTAGGAAGTGACCTCCTGGGGGAGGGGCCACACAGATACGTAACGCCTGTGACTCTTACCAGCAGCAGGACTGCTGCCCTGCACCTGACCTCACACACAGCCGCCCACACAGGGAAGGGGCAGACACTCCGTGCCCCACCCCTTCCCAGGTGTGCTCACCGGCTGCCCGGACAGCGGGACACCAAGGCCGGGGGCAGGTCCAGGGGCGGCCAGGCCAAGGGAAGCCGAGGGCCGGGGAGGCCAAGGTGGGGTCCGCAGGGGCCCAGGAGGGGAAGCTTGTGCACATAGTTCTGCTTCCCTGAAAAATCAGCTGTTTGTGAGAACTGCCTACAAAAAACAGCATTTCCTGTAGTTCCTTATCTAAGTCAGTTAATTAGTTGGAAAAGCGCTCAAGAACGAAGATCCCCTGTACTTTCCTGAAGGAAGAGGAACTTATTAAAACCTGGGCAGTCCACCAAATATCGAGGCTTTTGGCCTGGAACCTTCAGGCTGTTGGTCCTTGGAGACGCTTGGGGCCCCCGGGTGGCCTTCAGAACAATGCGCCCATCGGGGGTCTCCCTGTGGATCCACAGACCAGGCAGCCCCTCGGTACGCGGGGGCGAGCCCTCTCCCTCCTCCGCGTCTGGCCCTCAAAGCGCTGCTGCTCAGGGGACGAGCTCGGGCTGTTACTGACCAGGAAGTGAGCGCCTACGTCCCTGCTCAGGCTCTGCCCCCTCTCACTCACGGTCAAGGACGTGTGGCCATGGGGCCTGTACCACCAGCCCCGACATCCTGATGATACGGGGCTGGGCTGCCAACTCTGGAGGAAACACAGAAGGATGGAGCGCCCAGCCGCGGGCAGCGCCTCCCTGGCCGAGTCCAGGGTCCATCAGGACCCCGGCCAGCACCGGCCACCTGTGCGGTCACCGTGTGGCAGGAGTCCTTCCTCTAGGGGATGGGACGGGTCCCTGAGGTGAAGCCAAGGTCTGAAGGTGAAGGGTCAGGAGAAAGGGCGCCGGGCAGAGAAGCCTGGGGAAGGGGAGGGGGTCACACGATCAGCGGCAGCCACACGTGTCACGGCCCAGCTCCGCTCACGCCCCCTCACGCCCGCTCACGCCCAGGGCCGTGTCCTCCCGCTTCCCACTCGGTAAGAAAAGGAAATCACGACTGCAGGAGCCTCCCCGCCGCCGGCCACGCGCCCTGCTCGGCGCCCCCCCATGGAAACCGGAGCCCCGCCCGCGCCACACGTCCCGTGACCATTCCGCCCGCGTCCAGAGCCGCTGCCCTTTTTGTGGCATTTGTTCTGCTGGCAAAGAAAAGGCCACTTTGGAAACCTCCCGGACTTTTCCCAACGCGCCTGCGGCTGGCGGCTCCCGTCCGTCGGCTCCGGTCTGTCCAGGGCCTTAGACGGGGTCTGTCCAGGGCCCTTAGACGGGGCCCTCGGGCGAGCAGAGAGGCCGTTCCAGCACAGCGGGCTCACTGGGCCCAAGTACCAGCCGGAAGTGACCTGCGCTCGGGGGCTCACCCCAGCAAAACCAGCGCGGCTAGAATACCAGAGGAGGCACTGTCGGCGAGGGCGCCTGGCCTGCGGGCACTGGGCCGGGCTCCCCACGCCCCTCACAGTATCACACGTGCACTGGCGGATTTCAACAGGCGGGCATCGCACCCATGGCTCAAAGGCACGGAACCCATGGGACCTTGGATCCAGGTTGCTGATTGAGCCAAACTCAAAATGAGGAGGGGAAAAGGCAGCAGAACCAAACGCAGGATTTCATGGTCCTCAGTGGAATTCATTTGTCTATTTGAAAACACTCCGAGTGGTCGAAAGCCCCCTCTCCACACTCAGGCGCCTCTCACTGCTCAGTTTTAAGACAGAATCTTCTGCCGAGAAGGGAGGATTACTTGTACCTGAGACGCCAAAGGAAGATGACAAGAGGGGACCCCCGGGGTCTCCCCCTGCTGTTTCCACCATCACTGCAGGCACACGCTTGTGTGTGCCCTGCTCTGGACAGGCCTGGGCTGGACCCTGCACGCTGTGGTCTGCCTCCTGCACCTGGGTCTGGGTGGACCCACTCACCTTGGGCGGCCGGCAGGCCCCCTTCGCTGCGGCCTGGGGCCCTGCCATCAGCACTGCAGCCCCAGAAGAGCGGGGCAGGCGCGGCAGCAGGGCTCAGGGCCGCAGACCCTTTGGGAGAAGCCGGCCCCACGCAGAGGAGACCACGCTCCAGGCCACGTGGCGGGACCCGGTGGGGCCGACGAGCTGGCCTTCCGACCCAGTCGCCTCGCGGCTGGTGCCCATCCAGGTTCCACCTGCGCCTGCTACTCAGCGGGAGCGTCACCCAGGGGCCTGAAGGCACCCAGGAGATTCCCACAGCTGGGGGGAACTGGCGCATACAGCTGACCAGGGGCTGCCTTCTCACAGGTAGCTTCCTCCTCTTTCCTCTCCCGACGGTCAACAGAGGAATCTCCAGGCTCAGCACACATGTGCTGAGTGACCCGACCACTACCCAACTACTCGTTTGGAGGGGCTCCCATAACAGCCCCCTTTTGACAGTAAAACGTTCTCCATTAGGAGTTTCTGCCTTAAATAGAACCAGTGAGCAGGACAGTGGGAACGCGCCCGTCGAGGATCACGGGCTTCTGCTGTCTTCCCAACATGACTGAACACGCGTGAGGCTCCCGGCGTGGCCTACCTCCACCACGGACTTGGAATCCAGTCGGAAGTTGAAATCGCCAAAGACAAAGTAGGACGCTTTCTCGAATCGCTGGTCAATGATTCTGGGAGGAGAGAAGCAGAGGGGGTTACTGAGGCACGGCGCCCGCCACGCCCAGCCTCTCCCCGGGCTCCCCACCATGCATTTCCCACCGCCTCCTGCTGAAGGACGCTTGCACTCCAGTGACCGTGATCAACACGTGTTCCCCAGATGGCTCCCAGCTTGCCAGCACTGAGGTGTGCACCAGCGCGGTCCCATCCGCTGGGCCGGGGCCGTGAAAACCACGTTTGGCGTGCAACGACAGCCTGCGCCAGGGAAGGAAAAGGGCCACGCCACACGCCAGACACAGGAGAGCAGCCAGGAGCGGGCAACCCACATGAGCCCAGGACGCCTCCGTCTGGTCCGTGGACAGTTCCTCCCATCGGTGGTGGACACCTGACCTCATTCTCAGCGTTGTAGCTTATCCCCACGTGGATGTTTGGAAGCTACAAAGTGAGAGTGACTATGTCTTTTTTTTTAAGCTAAGTATTGCCTGGCTCAAAAAACTTTTTCCACGTATTTTAAACCAATCACAATTTATTTCATAGAGATTTTTCAGCTGAGAAACGCACACACAGCAAACGTGACAGTGATATGTCAGTGTCACCCCCACCCCGGCCCCGTACAGACCTCTCTTCCCCGGTAAGAGGCCAGGACACCACCCAACCCCGATCCTCCGCTCACTCACTCCCCCACCCCCTCCCCACCCTTGGTGGCAGCAGGGTCCCGGCTGCACTGGCCTCAAGGGCAAAGGAAGCAAGTGCGGGTCACTTCCAACTCAAAGCGGAATGCGAACCACGGCTAACGAGACAGCCCGCAGAGCAGACGTGTGGTCTGGGCAGAAGGGAAGGGAGGTTCAGTGACCCAGGTCCCCAGTTCCACCGCCCGTTGGTGGCTGCACTGACACCCCCGCCGAGACGGAGCAGCAGGGCCCACGGGCACAGTGTGGAGCGCCGCCCCCATGGCCCACGTGCTGCGACGGACTCTGAGAAAATAAATATTAAAGGCAGGCAAAGCCGGGAGCACCACTCGCCCAGATCAACTCAGAAATATCTGGCCGGCACCGAGAAACCTGGGTGCCACGGCCCTGCCCCGTCCAGCCCCCAGTGCAGAGGGAGCAGGCGTGCCCCCAACCCCGGAGCGGCCTTCCCAACTTCATGCACTAGCCTGAGAAAGGAAAGGTGACTGACAGCGATGACATCACCGCTGTTTCACGACGGTGGCCGCTGGCTGGAGGGACAGTCCCATCCGCACCCCCGGGGACGGCAAGCTGGTGGCTTCTGCTCGCGCCTGGCCTGCTTTCCTTTCTGGTTCCTTGCCTCCTGCTTTTTCAACTCCAAGAGTTTCCCTGTGAAGTGTGATGGTGATGCTGTCTGTGCTCACGGTACCTGTCACGCACGAGCCTTAATTTTCACGCAGGAAACACACCCACGTCCCCCCAGCTGCTAGCCCTTCTCCCCCCAAGGCTGATTCCCGACAAGTCCTTCTCTCATCTTCCTGGCAGAGTCTGTAGTGCAGACTTTAATCCATCTGGAACTACGTGTGAAGAAGGGGTCTTAGTTTATCGATTTTCCCAACAGTCGACTGATCCAAACCCTTTATTAAACATTCAATCCTCTTCCCCTTGAGTTTGTGCAGAACAGGAGTCCCTGGATTACATGGGTCTTTTCGAGACTCTCCTTTTCTGCAGATCTTTTATCTATTCCTGTTGCTTTTAAATCATAGGACTTCTCATGGGGAAGCCCTGCTTGTTGAAGTTCTTCTAGGAATTGTCTCAGCTGTTTTCATATTTTCTCGCATGTTAATTGCTGTATCACGGAGCTAAATTCCACAAAAAGTCTTGTTTTCCTGTTTAGTTGGATTGATTCTCACACATGCGAATTTGAAGACAAAGGACGTATTTTAACAGATTGTCATTAACGGTGCAGATGACAAGTGACGTCACTTCTTGTGTGAAAAGTTAAGTCTTTCTGGGCTTCCCTGGTGGCGCAGTGGATGAGAGTCCGCCTGCCGATGCAGGGGACACGGGTTCGTGCCCCGGTCCGGGAGGATCCCACGTGCCGCGGAGCGGCTGGGCCCGTGAGCCATGGCCGCTGAGCCTGTGCGTCTGGAGCCTGTGCTCCGCAATGGGAGAGGCCACAACAGTGAGAGGCCCGCGTACAGCAAAAAAAAAAAAAAAAAAAAAGTTAAATCTTTCTGTGGAGGAGACATCGCTCAGGGATGAAAATACAGGGAGGCCGGTGGGTCGGCCCTGGGGCTGCCGTACATCTAGGACTGGCCGTGTACCCCACCCCGTCTCACCCGCCTGGCACCTGCAGGGGAGGGGGAGGAACCCACCCCCATCGACTGTCTGTCAGCAGGAGGCTATCCAAGCCATCTTGAAGAAAGTTAATCTCTTCTGCCCTTAAACTTTAGAAGAAGAAAATACCTCAGAGAACCTGCACAGGTTCCTGGAAAGGCCGACAGGGTGTCCCGCCGGGGCACGGACTCCGTGGTCGCCCATCTTCTGGGAAGGGGACCCAGTGCACAAGCCCCACCAAGAAAGGAGAAGCAGCAATGTCCCTCCCGGCCCCGCCTCCCAGGACCAGTGAGTGGATGAGAGAGACATAACCACTGGGGCTCCGCCACACTGCTCTTTAAAAAACCCCCAAACGGAACTCTTCACTGCAGCCCTGCCAAGTGACTGCTGGCTGTGTGCGGAGGCCAGAGACGCCTGCGGCCCCAGGGCCTGTGCCTGGGGGTGGGCACGGGGGCTGCTCCCCGTGCCCTCACCCTCCAGCCTCATGGCTCTGGGACCCCACGTCACCGCTCTGCGCCCAGCAGCCGCGTAGCCCCAGAGCAAGGACCACCAGTCCCTGCAGCTCCCCGAGGCCCGTCGGCCCCAGCCCGCCTGGAGGCCCTCGGGGGCACCTCCCGGCCTCAGCCCCCGCCCCCTGCGCCCCCAGCCCAGCAAGGCTGCCTCCAGACAGGAGCCTGGGGGGTGCCCATTGGGGTGTCCCCGGGGCAAGGGGCTGGGGAGCAAGCTGACACGGCGCCTGGGACCCCGCGAGGTCTGGGCTCAGCGGTCGCACGGCGCCTCCTCACCGCTGCCACTCGGACCTCAGGCCACTCAAGGGGACTTCTCTTTTCTTTCGTTCTTTTTATTTATTTTTTAAGAAAAACTAAACCAAACCGAAGCTTCGACTTGATTTGCTGAAGGAAGGAGGGCGAGCTGTCACGCTTCCTGGGCAGAAACACTTTAAATGTCCACTTTAAACCTACACATCTTATCCTGAGGGTGTATCAGCTTCTGTTTATTAAGAAGCCCAGGGCACAATGTCCTCGAGAAAAGTCGGTGTGGCAAGTGGAGAAACCTCTGCGTTCACAGGCGAACCGGCTGCTCTCTCGCGGCTTCTTACGCTTAACGTGGTGTCGGGTCACACGCGACACCTGAGCAAGGCGACGGGGACACGGCTCAGACGCGAGGCCAGAGCGCTCACAGCGCCCCTCGATCCTGAACTATTTCTCGAGCCAGAGCATTTGCCTTAAATCTTGGCTTGGAAAGCCGGGCTCCAGCCCTGCGGCAGGAAAGGCTGGAGCTCCACATTTCCTGGGGGTCGAAGCCTTGGAAGGTGCCTGAGGGCGCTGGAGGTCACGGCCACACTAGCTCTCCTGCTCCAGGGGGCCACGAGGGACGCACAGGAGGTCCGGCCCAGGCCTGGGCCCCAGTCCCCACACGGGCGGTTTCCCGGGAGGTATGTGGAGGCGGGCGGGCGTCAGACGATTTGGGTGAAGCACGAGCCCGACTGACCCCGGCTGACCGTCCTCGCCCTGACGGATGGGCGGGAAACGAGGGACCAGGAAGCAGTGCAGATGGCCGACACCGTGCCGGGGAAACAAGACTATCTGGCTAATTAAATGGCAGAATCCGTTTAGAGGTAATTTCCTTTTTAAAAGATAACGAATTTCAGATTTAATATGGGACTAAATCAACTTTAAAGAGCTCTGCGGGTTCGGAGGGAGAGAATGCTGCATCTGGCGGCCTTCCTGGAACCCGGCCCCCGCGGCCTCTTTCTGGTGACGGACGGGGTGGCCCATGGTGACGGGTGACGTGATTTCATCAGCTTGTCTCGGGTCTTGTAATTCTATCATTAAAACCCTAAACTTTATCATCTTCCCGTGCCCTGCTCCTTTTGATGTAATGGCCTGAGCCCATTAATAACATCGCCGTCCGAGGCGAGATGGAAGGGCTGTCACGGGGAAGCAGTCGTCCGAGTGCCAGACCGCGGCCCGCAGCCCTCACTTTTAATTTCAACATAGTGCCATTTGGGCCAGCAGGAAAGAAGCGTTGTTTTAAAATTAATTACCTTGTCAGTAGCTATTATGATTAAAAAGTAGGTCCACGTCAATACCCTGTGCCTAATCCAGAAAGAGAACTACACGAAGAGCCATGGAAATCAGTGCTCTAGGCCCTGAGAACGGAGCCTCTTTCTGTCTTGACGGGCGATTTCACGACGCGAGGAACCTTGCTGTGCCGAAGGGTCCCCACCCGCTCAGGCTGCCTGTGCGGAAGGAAGGGGCCGAGGACGCCTCGCGGCTTGAAGAGCCCGATGGCAGAGGCGACAGCCCTGAAGGGGCCACAGATCGAATACCTGAGGTCACACGTTTCTACTGGGGGCGGCTCGGGCCTTGGAAGGACGCCGGGCGGAGGGGCCGACGAGAGGCCTTCGGGCCTGCCCACCAGGGGGCACTCCAGGGTCCTTCCTTTGTTATTTTTAGCTACTGAACGTGGTGGAAACCGACCTCAGGTTTCGTCTCAGATCTGGGAGAGGCCATGTGCTCAGGTCAAACAAGTTGAAATAGCGAAGCATGGACGGCAGGAGGTTCCTACGACTGGCCGCTGATTTCAGGGTCTTTGGAGTTTCCCTTAGTCTTAAAGCATCGGATTGAAGGGTTTATCACACGTGCATCTAAGCTGCCTTCTACAGACCGACCTTCCTGGAAGCTATTCTCAGGACTGCACGCTTCACTCTGCCCCGCGTGCTG